ATTTCTGCTAAGGAGCCAGTGCTTTTGTTCAGCCTTGCTTTTGCACCATTGGTGCAAATGTCAATACAGTGGGAAAGGAAAATAATGTTTTGGTATTATTATGAAAATAGTTTTGACTTCATAAACTCCCAACCCCCAAGTTCCATAGGCCATCCTCTGAGAACTATTGTCCTGGGGCTTTGGAATCAGATGGCAGTACTACCTTTGGAATGGAAAGGTCCCAGCAGAGTGGAACCTAGCAATGTTTTTGGTGGGGGGGATGGTATTTTCCAGTAAAAACCAGAAAACCTGCCAGACAAATTCTAAAAGAGCTGCAACATAGCTGAGCGTGGTGGCTCACGCCTGTAGTCCCAGCTACTCAGGAGACTGAGGCAGGAGGATTGCTTGAGCCTGAGAGGTTGACGTTGCAGTGAGCCAAGATGGTGCCACTGCTCTTCAGCCTGGATGACAGAGTGAGACCCTGTCTCAAAAAATAAAATAAAATAAAAAAAGAATAACAACGATTTATTGGAAATAATAAAATCTATGTTTATATTGTTTATATTTAAGGCAGATAAACTATCACCACACTCAATGGAGCAAAGCACAAAAATGTTCTCAATGAACAAAATTCCAATTAGAGTCAATTGCTTCTTTAAACATACCTGTAAGTATCTTTAGGCTTCTTCAAGTGTTTCCATTGGTGTGGTTCCTGAAGGGGTGGGTGAATTAACAAGGCAATCACCCATTCCTTCATCTTAGTGCTGGAAATACACAGTATTGAATAGATAGACAAGGTCCGAGCTCTCTTGGTGTTCACAGTCAAGTGAGGAAATGTTCAATAACCACACAAATATCAATATGATTACAACTGTGCTAAGATTTATGAAGTACAGGGAGTTTGCAGGGGTGGGGGATGGAAGATGCTGACTTGGTCCCAAGTCCAGTGAAGACCTCCCTAAAGCAGTGAAATTCAGCTGAGGTCTGAAGCATGAGTTGCAGTTGGCCGGGTGAAAGTGGGGAGTGGAGCCGGGCGAGGTGGCTCACGCCTGTAATCCCAGTACTTTGGGAGACCGAGGCAGGCAGATCACAAGGTCAGGAGTTCAAGATCAGCCTGACCAACATGGTGAAACACCGTCTCTACTAAAAATACAAAAA